GCTGTTAACCAAAAATATTATCAAAAAACTCAACCAACCGGTATTCTGAAGTTTTGTTAGCTAAAATTTGCAGACATTTCAATCATGAGTTAGGAAACCAGTGTATATCATGTGTATAGACCATATTTCATATTTTGTAGTGACAGCATTCTTATTATTTTCATGAATTTTTAAACTGCAAAAACAAACAATACTTTTCATTAAAAATCTAGGTTAAAAAAAATATTGGAAAGAAGGGTTTTCACCAGAGGTTTTCCATTTTAAGGATCAGCCCTTTGGAGTATTGGTGTCTAACAGAGAAAGAAAGGGAAGCGATTTAAAATTAAGAGAAAATTAAGCTGAAAATAAGCAGACAGAATGAACTTATTTGGTCAGCTGACTCATACCAGAGCACGCTTAAAGCCTACACTAAAGTCTGGAAAATCAATAAGATTCTTCTGTGGGATTTCCTTTTCCTTGGTCCTTGGAGAAAATCTGTCTATTTAACTATACAGCAACCAGCTCTCTGTTCCTCTTTAGAAGCTCTTGTGCTTGGCTCTGTTCTGTGGAAAACAGCTCCCTTTTATCTTTCACCTAGACGGTGATTACTCCCTGTATTTAAGCTTCTGCATGATGGAAAGATGAGAAAAATATCACACGAGAAGCAAAATCACTCTCCGCATTTCCCTTGTGCAGGAAAACACATCAGAGCCTACTGGCACAGCCCATTTTCAGAACCAATTCCTGCCATGTACTCTCTGGATGGCAATTACTGCAGCAGAGCAGTCAAGAAATGATTCCTTGGACTTAGACAACTGCCAGCGCTAATTAAATATTCTTTCAATATCCACATTTTTCACACAGGTCTTGAGGATGGCTAAAAGCATTATACATACAAAAGGAAAATCCAGAGAAGATACACAACATCAAACACATTTTTAGTCCTTATAAAAGCAGATCTGAAAACACTTCCTTCGTGAATGCATTTGTTTCAACACTCTTGATGGGCTGCTAGTACTAAAGAAGCTATTAGATACTCTGCAAGAACCTACCTTCTACTGAACTTCCACATTATGCAGTCTTACAGCAGACTAGGACTGGAAACAAAAAAGGGTAGAGAGGACTCCAAATGCCTGAGAAGGGATAAACTGATTGCACAGTTCAACTGCAGGCTGACACAAGCTCAGATGATCAAATTTATTTAGACAGCAGGCCTCCATTGATTTTTCAGGTGATTTAGTCTCCTTGGCATCATTAAAACTTACATATAAAGTAGATTAAGAAGTGTCCTCATGAATGTGTAATTCTGGGTGAAGGACTATTGCAAATCCCAAGAATAGATGTGGCTACAGATTTTATTAGAACACTTATACATTTTTCATGTGTACTAGGTTTCCTTGCCTATTTGTCTGAGCCAACTCCCATATTGCTGAGATTCTACTCCTTAATTTTCCTATATATATCTCCTATTTGTTTATAATATTTTTCTAGGAAATGCAGGAAAGGAGCATCTGGAAAAAACCTAAACTGATATATAAATCATGCACATAAGCAATGGGTTTTTTCTGTCATGTTTCTGTAGTCCCTAGCATAAAGAGACAACCAAATCAGTAATTCCTGTGAGATTATTCAGAGGAATTTCAGTCATGCCATTTTTAGTAGGAGGACAAACCTAAAAAAACACCTGGACTCTACGAGCCTGAACAAGTAGGCACTACACACACACAAATGTATCTGCATGTCCAAAGAAGCACACAGCAAAATAAGGCAGACCAGCTAGGAAAACATCCCTCCAGCTCCATAGCATTAATTCTTCTCAATAAATGAAATGCTTAATAAGCACTTTTGAAAAAGATGGACAACTTAGATGAACGTAGGACAGCAGTAGTGGTCAGAACTCCTGATTCATGTACCTCAGAGAGAAATGCTAAAGAAGCCAGGTGATAACATGTGAGTGCAATAGGTTGTGTGGGTCCTTGTGTGGGTCCCTGTCCCACCAAGAGGGCCACATGAGACCTCATCTCCTCAGCTGCCACCACTACTTCTGCAGGCATACTAATGCTGTTCCTCTCCCTCAGCTGAATCCTCGCCCACCTGCTTCAAACCCAAACAAAAAGAGAAATTCAGACATGTTCAACAGTTGGGGTTTTCTTTCCCTTTGTGGGTTTATGGGGTGTATTAGCCTCAACAGAATAAGTTTTCCAGTACTGAAGGGAATTGGAGCATCAATCCACCAAAGTTTAACCTTCTTCCAGAGGCAGCACTCTGAAACAAAATCAGTCAAAATGATGTCCAAATGCTATAAAAAAGATGGAGGTGGCTGTATTTTAATCGATAAAATGAGTATATTTTACTCAAGTATCCACAAGATACTTCTGCTAGCCAACATGGGCGGGGGTTCAGTTCTGCTTTTTGTTTTTCAAAGAAGATTCTTGGATTTCTATGAGAAAAATTATATTGTGTTAAAACTGAGAAAGAACCGTTCTTTCCGACCAAGAGTTCTCTCCAGGAAAACATCACAGACAATACCGACACTTCAGCATACTTTCCCTACTTTACTGAAGAAGGCCAGCACACAGAAAAAGTTTGCCAATGCCTCTTTCACCTTTACTCAAAAGTATCCACAGCTGGACTGAGGGTTTTGGCATTTGCTGAACACAGGTTACAGTCTGTCTCCTCTCTGGCCTCTACATGGGGCAGTTTTGCTGCTTTGCAGTGCAGAGTGAGAGAGGACACCGATACCATGAAAGCATAACACACAAAAGGTTTTGGGAATTTCTTCAGACTTAACTCTTTTTATTTTGATTTCATTTGAGAGCCACCATTCACCACTAATTAAAGCAGCTCCTGAAATAAAACTGCTCTGGATAAACTTCCAGAAATGCAGGTTAAATTATTGTTTTACCCCTTTACTCAAAGCTCTTCTGAGCCCTCACTGTTAATTCAGACACTGGCAGGTAATGCTGTCTTTCAGTCCTGTTATGTAACCTGGCTTCCAACATGTGCAAGAACTAACATGTTTCTCCAGATAGATTTGCTTTCCCAGGCTCCTGCCTTCTCAGCAATGTGAGGTACTTTGTATGGAGTCATCTCAATTTCCTTTGAAACCCCATTTTTCTAAATACTTAGATTTTTTTCAGAGATAAGAAAAGTCAGTTGTATATTTATCTTGAGCTATCAAACACACTAAAAAGAATCTATCTGAGATTCCAGGCACCATGGCTAAATAATAAAAATACAGTCAGTCTTATGCAAACAAATGTATAAACACACCAGTCGCCTCAAAATCTCACAGGGCAAAAAACTATTCCTGCCACAGGTTCCCCAGAAAACAAACCAACCACGGGTTGGTGCAGCCCTTCCCACTCTGAAAACACCAGGCTTTGCTTTAAGTCCCTAAATATTGGACAATCCAAATGACAATTTTTTTCAGTCACGGTCTTTTCTGATGTTTCCACTAATATAAATACTGCAGCTGTTCATTGTTCTGAATCTTGACAACCCCAAGCATAGATTTATCTTTCAATCCTATCTTTAAATCTATAATTTTAAATCTGTAACTGTACAGTTTTATATGGATTGAGATTTTTTTACAGATTTATATAGATTTACTCCTTTCTATAAATGGCTGTTTGATATCAATCATTAGGACAAAACATATCTCCTGTCTTTGGTTTCTTTTCCACAGCTTGACTAATGCATCAAATTGCCTATATTTTAACAAGGAGATACTGTATATCTGAAAGATAAAATAGCACAGGCCTTAGAAGTTCACATTCTTCAGCTTGCCATCTTTTACCCATTTGAAGCAAATATTTTCTATCACCATGTGTCAATAAAAACTAAGAGCCAATAAAACAGCCTAGCTTGCATTGTGGGGTGCTGTTAAACAGAAATACATTGATGACATCCAGTTTCTATCAGGCACAATGTGTGTAACTCAGTAGAAGACAAAAGAACCTCATTTACCAGCAATTAATTTGCTCCATAAAATAAATAATAATTAAAAAAACCCACAAAAAAAACCCCAAAACTATGTTTTTACTAAGACATTGTTGAAAATCAAAGGTTTAAACCACCAACATTCCTTTAAGTATAAATCTTCAAATCTGACAGTTGTTTATTAGTTGATTTCCCTCTTTTTTTGTAATTACCTGTTTGCTTTCACTGTTTTAGATTCTAGGACAACGTCATTTCTATGCAGGCTAAATCAGGCAATATTAAGTGCTTTTCGTGATTCTCAGGCAAGGCATTTTTAAAGTACAAAGCAACAGCTATTTTTGTTGGCTGACACAGTCTAGAGCCCAAAGACACATTATTCCACCTTCAGAAAGGCAACAGCTGGACCACACGATGGTCCTTACCATAACCCCTGTCTCACCACAGCCCCTTTGCCTGGGGATGAAGGACAACTCCAAGACAGGGTGACTGAGCTCGCTTCACTTGCTACGGCTCCTGCAGCCTCTGGGAACAGATGCCACTCACTCCCAAACAACCTTTAGCAACTATTCTTTCAGCAACCTTCTACACTTCCATTTATGTCCTCAAAATAAAAAAAACCAACAAACTTAACAAGCAGGAGAAGCCAAACCTAGGCAGATCAGCCAGATATTCCTTACGCTCAGTCAATCACTCCTTCAGAGAAGCCCACCAGCCACATCAGAAAAGAGAAACTTTTCCAAAGCAAAGGAACCAAATGAAGACAACTTCAAGGTGGAGAAAAAACAACTCTTTCCCCCGTTACTTAGCAAAAAGCATTTCCAATGCTCTTAGACTTCTCTGCTCTGTCTTACAGCCCTCTCCAGACAGAGGAGCAGAGAGAGAGTCAGAGCAGAGCCCATTACATGAGACACAGCTCTCAAGAACACAGACAAACCATGGGATGAGCAAGGCGCAGGGGCCAAAGGATGAAAGAATCTTTGGAATAAGCAATCCAAAACCTTAAAAACAGGAGCAAAACAAACACTTGGAAATTTAACCCAACTGCTGAAATAACCCTGCAATGACATAGCTCTTCTTACCTTTGCCATCTGCGCCTGCACGCCATTTGCTTTGAGAGATGCTACTGCTTTCTGTGCAGCTGCGGGACTGTCAAAATCTACAAAACCATAACCTGAAAAATAAAACAGATAAATACAGATTTTCAGTATTATCCATATGTATGAGCACAGATAAAGATTTCATTTTCAAAAAGAAGGAAAATCTTTCCATTCTCTCACAGTCTCATGATCTTCCAGTATCTCTGCCACCACATCTCTATTTGTCACATCTTTTCTCCTGAACCTAGTGGGGTTTAAGGGATTGCAGTGACCTGAAGCTTCAAAGTGCCAGAAGATATACAGCAGAAGGGGAGTGCAGGCAGGTGTTTGTCCTAACAGATTAAAAGTCCCTGGCAGCAGAAGGGCACACATGTTCATGGGACTCCAGTGCTCTGGAGTCCTGCCCCATCTCTTCCATAAGAGGAGGTAACTTTATGGACCTTCCTGGGATACAAAGCTACAGCTTGCAGTGGCTGGTTTTATGAGAAAACACCCCTTCTCCTGTCCCTTAAACCCACACAAGGATTAAGCTTCAGAAGAGGAGGGCAACAAGTCTCTGTGGCAGTCTGGGGCCAATGTGTGCAGGAGCAAGAAGAGCAGCCTTCCAGCAGGTGGGACCAATTCAGGAAGAAATCCCAATGTAGACTCTACAGGCAACTGCCAGATAGCTCTAGACAATGATGAGATAGCAAAGTCTCAGCTTTGGTTAAAACACATCCCTTTCATCCCACTGCTCTCTCTGCTGGAACAAGGGACAGATCTCTGCCAGGAATTGCTTTGGGATATCATCTGAACAACAGCTTAGAGTTAGATCTTAGGGATTGGCAAGGGATAATCATCTGCTTTTAAGTGGCTTTCTTGCTCCCAGTATTTGCATTAGTTTAGTATATTAATCAGCCAGTCATTTCCTATCTTCTCTTCCTCCCTCTCCATATTTTTGTTCCTTTAGCCAGCAACACTGGTATGTTCAAGCAAGCCCAGTGCTGTTAAGCCCTACTGGATAGCAACAACTCTGAAAACATTTTTATTTTCCTAAAGACATAAAGGAAGGGGAAGAGGGCAAGGAATAGACTTCACAACTTTTAAAGCACTGAGCTCTCTCTGATCTTCAACAGCATTCAAATATCTTGCTCATAAAGATTTCAACTGAATTAGGAAGATCTAAAAATCTCACCAAGCACCTATTTAAGCAGCTGCATATATTTCACAATCCATCCAGGGAAAACCCCTACATCTTATTAAGCAATTACAGTGCAGGTAGGCATGTGCTGCTCAGACAAGCTGTGGCCAGGGGCCACATCTTTGGCATCTCCCTGGAAAGCCATATGGATGAAACTGAACCGCCTGAAAGCTTTAATAATATTAGCACAAGCATATTTATAGCTTCTTTGCAGACATCTCCATTTACTAGGTCAATACACATCCTACAGGAGGCAACCACAGATATGATTTCCTGCTGTATCCATTTGTATTTCTTTTCCCAGCCTTTCTTCCTACTCCTGGGAGACTTCACTGCCATCCTCTGTACCAAATCTAGGTATAAAAGTGTCTGCTTGAGATCACCTTGTCCCACAAATTACAAACATCTCTATTATTATTTTGGTATGCATACATTGCTCAGTGTAGGGGTTAATCCAATCATGAAAGAATTGTTTGGATGTTTTTGTTTCTTGGCTTAAATCTCATTCACAAAGTTTTAAGAAAATTAAAAGAAGAAAAAAGAAACAGACAAAATTATTAAGGAGCTAACTTAAGGATGTGAAAAGCACTATTCTGTAGCAAAGTCAAGATCTGAACCTTTCTTTGCTCAGTTTTCAATTTTGGTTTGTTTGGTGGAGGGTTTCTTGTTGTGGGGAGGACGGGGGAGAATTTTTTATAGGGCATTACTACAGATTGAGGGACACTGTGATAAAGACACTGACAGATTGAGGAGCACTGTGAAAACAAATCTAATAAACACTAGAGTTTGATCAACTCGGGGATATGAGGAGTGTTTGACCTTCTCTGATTCTCTCATTTGATTTTCCCTTTTTACTGCAAGCCATTTTTAAATCAGCTTGTCCTACATCTCATTTTCCTTTGCAGTGCTATCCAAGCACTCATCTCACTGCAGAGCAGCAGTAAAGCTGATGCTGCTTTAAACTAAAAAATATGCTACAAGAGAGCAAGAGTCCTCCCTGGATTTCTCCAATGCCTTTGCCCTCTGGGAGAGAAACTTCTGGGAGGAGGAAGGAGATGCAATTAGATGCAACTTCCATTTTCCTATATGAGGGATCCTTACAAGAAACCAGAGCTGTCAAATGGGAAATCTGAAATGTCTTGGGAAGTGATGGGATGGCTTGAATCAAACACTAAGAAAATTAATTTTTACAACTGTGAGGTGGTCTTCTCGGGAAACTAAATTGGTTTTTATTTCTCACCATTTCCATGCCCAACAATTAGGAGGTAAAAGTACAAAAAAAGTAATTTTAACATTGTCATTAAAAACAGATAATGGAGTTAGATTTTTATATTTAGCACCAGTGTACAGTGCAGGCTTCATGTATGAAGGAATAGAAAAGAAATGATTTTTAATATGACTTTCTAGACCGCAAAGTAATTATTCACATCTAAGTTAGTTTTGCTTGTGAATAAAAACCAGACTGTGTAAGAATATTCCAGTATTGTATCATAGATATCAGGTATTTCTAGCATAATAAATTATTGAAGAGTAACATCAGTCCATAATATCTAAATCCATTAATATCTTCTAAGCATTTTTTCAGTAGGCACAAGGGGCTATATGACCATATCAGAGATCCAGTGGAGTCTTGATACAAAAAAACTCACATCTTTAGCTGCCCATTATGCATTCTAGTATTACTACTCCCAGTCTGGCTGCAAAGCTGTTCTTTTTCCTTCCCTCAAGCTCATTTCCATTCCAAGTATCTTTTTCTAGCCCTCCCCCCTCCTGACACATCTCTCCACCACACACAGAACATCAGGACAAAATCACTCCATGGCTGAAAACCAGTCCAAAGAACATCAATCTGCCGCAAGGGAAGCCAAGTTCCCAGGCTGTTTCAGCATTCAAGTATCCTTACAAGAACCCTGCAATGCTATAGAACAGAAAACCAGGCATGTTGCCTTTTTGTACAGTTTCCGTTCTTCCACGTAGATGTTTATAGCCCGTGTTAGTGACCTACGTTAACATATTTCATTTGTTTATAATCTCACTTCATTTTTTGTGTCTCGGGTACTAACTAAATAGTGTTGGATTTTCTGTTTGGGTTTTGAGTTTTTGTGTTTTGGGGTTCTTTTGTTGGTGTTTTTTTTTTGGGGGGGGGGGTTTATTTACTTATCTGGGTGGATGAAGTGTAGCCCCCACAAAAGCTAAAACTGGGTCTTGGTACATCCTCTCCAGTGTTCTCCAAAGTGTAAATGAAGCCCCAAACTCCCTGTGCTGAGATTCAAACTCCCTGTCCTTCCCTCTTGTCCAGGCTGTGGCTGAAGTGGGTTGTGCTCCCCGCCAGCAGAACTGGGCTGCTGTGGCTGCCCCTGGCAGGTGAACTGTGTCTGGGTTTGGCTGCTCCAGCATCTATCCCTGCTCTGCCCCCTGGCTCCTCCTGGGAAAAGGTAGGAAAATGGTTGGAATCATCTCCTGGGATGAAATTCAGATCAGGGTCTGCCAATCAGACACTGCTCTAAGAAAACATCTACATTTCTTTTTCCTCCTTTAAAAACAAGTGCAAGCCCCATCAGACTGTCTCCCTGCTAGACTCAAATTCCACAGCTCTTTTGTCTTTTCTTTCCCCTGCATTTTTATTGTGTGTTCACTGCCTTGTGAACATTCTGGTCAATGGATTATGTATAGATATTTTTCCCCCCACTTTTTATGCAGAACATCATGAAAAATGAACTCAGATTCTAAACCGGGACCTTCAGACTGTGCTCACAAGAATCCATCACCACCACAGGAAACCAAAACCAAAACTATTTCCCCTTTTTTCCTGAAGCATCCTGACATTTTCCTTTAAGAACTCCAAACACAAATAAGGAAAGCTGGTGGTTCCCTGCTGCTTTGAGAGATGGGAATTGAACTTATCCTAACAGGAGCCCTTCACCTCAAGTGTACTTATGCTGAGGGTGACTTTGGTACTCCAATGCTACAAGTCCTCCAAGATCCTGAGGGTTTTTTTTTTTGTAGAATGGCATATTACAAGCTCCTACATGCAAGCACACACACAAAGAAACCCAGGACAAGACTATCCAGAACAATTGTTAAACCTTTCCTTTAAGAAATACAATGCCTGTAATTTTGTATTGGCCTAATGCCACTATGGCTAAATAATTAAATTTTTAAAATATAACCAGTACTTTTTTCTTTTTTTTTTTACCTGTGGGGGAAGGAAAACAGCTAAGCATCAGCAAACTCAAGTTTATAGCAAGTTGCAATAAGTGCTACCTAAATACACTGGCAGACACTAAACATCTCAGTCTCCTATAACCTAAATGGCTGGGGGCCTCCCGGTCTCAGTTTCTCTGTTCCATAATTAAGCTTGGCAGCACGTACAAATGAATTAAAACTGAATGTCACTATTTCCTCAACAAATCCCTCATCCTTGTTTTTTCTTACTTGTCAGGAGAAGACCAGCAGAACAGCAATTAGTGGTAAGCAGTGCAGTGAAAAAGAACCAAGTATACACTAATTAGGTCACTCGCCAAACACGTTCATTTCATTGGCAGATTTAATCAATGTTTTCCTGAAATGTCTTAAATCTCCTATGCTAATTTAAAGTTTTGTTATTGTTGTTACTTTAAACACAGATGGGATGCCTGGAGATTTTCAATTGCTTTCCACAAATCCATTTCAAAATAACAACCCCTCATATAGAATATCATCAAAATTTCGGCACAGGTTTTAGGAAATGGCCTCTAATTTTATGCCAACGTTTTTCTGCCTGCAAATACCTATGGGTGCAATTTTGTGGATTTAAGTAATTACAGGTGTGTAGAGCTCTTAGACATCAAACTCTGAATTGCCCTGATAGATGGAGTACTTAGGGGTAATGCCAAATAATTTAAGGGACCACCA